TAATTTTAAATCGACAAAACCGAATGCTTTGAAATATTGCAGACGTTTTAAAGTTATCGTAAGCTTGGTAAATTTTTAATTAAAATATATTTGCTTATTCCCTCAAAAAAAAAAATATTACGTCATAGCTAGTTGTTCCCAATAAATCCTATCTAAAATGTGCAAAAATATGATGACTCTATAATTGTGATATGTATCATTACAACCATGTTTTTTAGAATTTTAGAGTCGATTTAATTTTTGGATTACTATATCAGGAACTACAAAACCGAAGGTTTTGAAATTTTGCAGAACTTTTAACGTTGTCGTAAGCATGATAACTTTCATTTAAAATATATCTGTGTATCCTTCCAAAAAATTGATGACGTTATCTTAAACTTGTACCTAACAAATCCTATCTAAAATATGCAAATTATGATGAAACTATACTTGGATTGTTTTAATATTTTTTTGAATTGCTTATACAGGTGACTCAAAAAATGTAATGAATAAGTTAATTTATTGATTAAATCAGGAATGGGTCACTCCATTTTCATAAAAATTTTGAAATAAAATACTGTTATTATTATAGTATACAATATTACACTAGACGTATCGAAACTGATATACGTATCTTTGCAAAATGTCGATGACGTCTTCACAAAATTTTATAAAGGAAAAACTCATTTGAAACATTTTACATCTAGTTTAACAACACATACATACATTATATATTAACTTATAGGGCTTCCCAAAAACAAAATAAATTTGGCAAAATTTCAAATTTTATAATTTTTAGAAGTTGGATATGTTTTATTCTACTTAATTTAGGAGCGAGGGGAGGTCTACAGCAAAATCCTACATCTACAGGCCAACGTCCTCGAAAGTCATTAAATAAACCGCTATAAGTCAGAATAAACAAAAAATTCTGCTTAAAGGACAGACCGATATAAATAAATCTCCCTTGCTAAATTTACAAGTGTAAAAACCCACCCCCTTAGCCCTAAGTATATACTTATATAGAATGTTGACAGTTATCATCACTATCCAAAACTCAGATTCTACCTGAAGAACATACTGTGTACCGAAACACATGTTGTAATGCCACACAATAAGATATTTTGGGCTATCATCAACTCCAGTCCAAGGTCATATGTCGATACACTGGTACTTGGAGTGCCTTAATCTTTCGCCTTAATTCCGGTCCAAACTGATAAGAGTGATAAGAGCACCTATTATAAACTTTGCATACATTTTAACCGTCCTTTTTTAAATTTCACTTTTAAAATCTTTGAGAATAGAAAAAATCGTGAATCTAAATGAGTCAAAAAGTAGACGTGTAATAAACAAAGAAGTTAGACAACGGCAGAAATTTATATCGCAAATAATTTTGCAGTATTATGAAAACCTCATTTCTAGATACGATTTTGTAAAATGTATGTCATCATAATATTGTTATGTTATGATTTATAACAAACTTTGTTGTTTAAGTAAACAATTATTAAAATAATTTTCAAGTTTCCTAATCCAACATGAATTGAATGTGTTCCCTGCACTCAATAAAGGTAATTAGAATAGAATGAGTTAATGAGATAATTTTCGACGATTGCAAAATTGCGAGTGATACTTCTTAAGTTCTTAATTAGAATTTATAATTCATAATGAAATGTTACATTATTGGATAAATAGTACAAAGTAAAGTACATTGTAATTTAGCTACTGTAAATTTCAGCCAACGGTTGAAGTTCCAAATTTTGCCGGATCGAATAATCCAGCATTTCAGCGTTCGTATACCTTTATCATTCTGACAAGTGACATCCAATAATGAAAATCACCATTCAACATTTACTCTATATGTATGTTGTTTATGTACTGTCACATCAGTCATACCTAATAATATTTAAGTGATTTTAAAACTTTTCAAATTGCGTTTTCATTCTAATATCCTTACGTAAACAAAAACCGGTCGCAATCTTATTACATTTTTTGATTTTGCAAGTTAAACAAGCGTTTATCATTCATCGCCTTCGGGTCTATTTGTTCAATCTCACGGACCGTACTTTTTTGCAATTTACGAGATTATATTTCGAAACAATGTATTTGTAAATATCCGACCCCATCACATTTTAAAAATAACTTGAGGGTATGAAAATATAAGAGCTTGGGGATTATGCACCCTTCGCTTTGTTGGCTGTGACAGAATTTATAGAGTTGTCACAGATATCGAGGGTAAACTGTGATGACTATTCACACTAACAAAACTAAATCTACGCCGCAGTATTTATTGGTTTTACACTACCATTGTGACCAACAATACGTCCAGATTAAAATATAAAAGTGTGAATGCAAATGCAAATAGAATATATTTATTTAGTGTCCTTTGGTGTGTTTTCGAAATACACTAACATGTAACGTCCAACAGGAATCATAATAATAACTGAATAGCTAATTCTGTGTTCCAAATTCCATCAGTATAATGTAGGTTTTAATTTTGATTAAGCAACATAATCTTAATTTACCATAGTTTATTTAATAGACACTCGATGCACTTAACTAATTGGAAATAACATCACAATAACGACAGTATTTAATAATTAATTTTAATCGATAATTGAAATTGTTAGGAAGTATCTCCAAGAATAATTGCGTGACGGTTGTGGTGATGGGTTTAGGGTATAAATAATTTATTTGTATTGATTGTAGAGTAAGCATAAATTAATGATTGAAAAAATAATAGAATATCCATATGAGTTGTCTTCACTTGGGTTGAAACATAAAAATAGAAAACTGCGAGGGTATATCGACCCACGTTGATGGAAATACAGATGACATTTCACAAATTTATAAAGAAAAATATTTAAATATACAGAAGAATGACGTCGTGGGAAAGGTAAGTGGATAGTTAGGTTCAGGTAGAACGCAAAATGAACTAGAATTTTCGTGTTTATAATTTATAATTAAAAATTAGAAAACCATGTCTCTGATTGTAACGATGCAAATTTTAGCTGCCCGGATTTTTATTAGACAGATAATCTCCGAAAGTACTGGACCGATTGTTGTGAAATTTTGTACTTATATTAGGAATATCATGTAGATGGTAACGCTAACCAAAATTTGTCTAATCAAAATTGTCCATAGTAAACGGGTTCTAAATTGTATAAAATAACATAGTCCTACATATGTAGTTTACGACTCCTAATTGAGTTTTTACCCGAAACGTCCAGATTTTTGGAAAAAAAATAAAAATTATAAAACAACATTTTTCAATTTAATTTTTAATCTGCTCACCCGAATGCTTTGAAATGTTGCAGATGTTCTAAGGCCATAAAGAGCATCATAAATCTTTAGTCAAAATATATTTGGTCATCCCCTCCAAAAACTTGATGACGTCAGCTCAAAAGTTTGCCGAATAAATCCTATCTAAAATGTGCAAAGTATGATGAGTCTGTACTTGTGATCTATCACTCCATTCATATTTTTTGGATTTGCATATACAGGTGACTCAAAAAAATTAATGAATGCGTAAATTTATTTTACTGATTTACTCAGGAACTACAAAACCGAATGCTTTGAAATCTTGAAGATATTTTAAAATTATCATAAGCATGGTAAGTTTTTGATCAAAATGTATTTGTTCGTCCCCCCTAAAAAATTTATGACGTCACCACAAAATTTTGCTGAATAAATCCTATCTAAAATGTATAAAATATGATGAGTCTCTTCTTGTGATTTATCATTCCATTCATATTTTTTGAATTTGCATATACAGGGTGACCCAAAAAAATTAATGAATGCGTAAATGTATTTTATTGATTTAAACAGGAACTACAGAACCGAATGTTTTGAAACCTTGCAGATGTTTTAGGGTTAAAAAAGCATAATAAATGTTTAGTCAAAATATATTTGCTTATCCCCTCCAAAAAATTGATGACGTCAGCTCGAAAGTTTGCCGAATAAATCCTATCTAAACTGTACAAAATATGAATCTGTACTTGTGATTTATCACTGCATTCATATTTTTTGGATTTGCATATACAGGGTGACTCAAAAAAAATAATGAATGCGCAAAATTTATTTTACTGATTTACTCAGGAACTACAAAACCGAATGCTTTGAATTCTACTGCGAAAAAAAAACATAATAGGCATGCAGTCGTCACGTTTCCGACAGCGAGGGAAGTACTGTCCAAACTCTTTAGACCAATTTTTTTTACTGTTTTTCCCAGACTCACCACTTGATTGTTAATAGCGTTGCGGAGAGTTAATCCGCCATTTTCCAGACATCCGGTATAGTGTATACCAAATTTTATACAAGTTAACAATGATTCATAATAATTTGTCATTGCCGTTCCTAAAGTCAATCCTCAGAAGGATGACTTGAGAATGACAAATTGTGATAATAAGAGGATGCCGAAGACCTATTCCTTTGCTAGCAAATACCCCTCTAATATGTAAATTTACCCGCTTTAATTGAACAAAACGGGTCACCTGCCCACAAAATATTGAAATTTACATACTATAACGGCACATTTTAAGACAATGAACTCATTTACGATACGTTGTAAGGTAGCATCGTCAATTTAATTATAATGCAGAGCTCCGTTATTCTTTTTATAAATTAAATCGATCAAATACCAAAGTTCTCGAAACTACAATGAAAACTAAAAATTGGTAGAAGATTATTTCGAGAGAACTTCCCTCGCTCTTAAAGTACAGTGAAACAAATACAGCTTCGAAAAATTGGTCTAAAGAGTTTAGACAGTACTTCCCTCGCTGTCGGAAACTTGACGACTGCATGCCTATTGTGTTTTTTTTTCTCATTACATTTTTGTAGTGGGAATTAAAAAAAAAATTGCGATGACGTCATCAACATTTTTGCAAGGACACGTATATCAGTTGGGATAGATGTAGTGTAATACTAAGAATAAGATTATTGTATTCCCAAATTTTCGGGAAAATGAATTGGGTCGTTTTGAATACTGATTTGTAATAATTAATAAAATAACGAAACAATTTACTCACGTATACGGCGCCGGCGTGTACTAGGACAGGCAACTGAAAATCATTATGTATAAGCATTCTTAATTTAAGACGACAAGCGTAACATAGCATACGTGAGAGTCAAACAGAGAAAGTGTAAACAAAACCCATGGTCGTCTAGAGATATTTATTGCTTCGACTTCCGCTTATTATATAAAACATTGGGTTTTATTTTAACTTTTGACGGTGGAATTCACAATTGGTTGATTATAAACATGTCTATACTACATTCGCGGAACCTAGTCAGCGCACAAAACAAATACACGTCTGTAATGTTAAAGTAAATATAAATAAGCGTGCTACCCTTATGTTTCAACCGAGTTTTTAGTTTACAAAATTTTGTGTCTACCAAATTTGGCTGGTCCAATGTAATACTAATAATAAGTGTTGCCTTTAATGTAATCAATAAAATAAATTGACTTCATTAATTTTCTTGAGCCACCTCTTAAGCAAATCTAAAAAATTGGTCTGAAGAGTTTAGACAATACTTCCCTCGCTGTCGGAAACGTGACGACTGCATGCCTATTATGTTTTTTTTTTGCAGTAGATTTCAAAGCATTCGGTTTTGTAGTTCCTGAGTATACCAATAAAATAAATTTAGGCATTCATTATTTTTTTTGAGTCACCTGGTATATGCAAATTCAAAAAATATGAATGGAATAATAAATTACAAGTACAGACTTATCATATTTTGTACAGTTTAGATAGGATTTATTCAGCAAACTTTTGAGCTGACGTCATCAGTTTTTTGGTGAAGATAACCAAATATATTTTGACTAAAAATTTATTATGCTCTTTATAACCTTAAAACATCTGCAAGATTTCAGAACATTCGGTTTTGTAGTTCTGAGTAAATCAATAAAATAAATTTACGCATTCATTAATTTTTTTGAGTCACCCTGTATATACAAATCCAAAAAATATGAATTCAGTGATAAATCACAAGTACAGACTCATCATATTTTGCACATTTCAGCTAAGATTTATTCGGCAAACTTTCGAGCTGACGTCATCAATTTATTGGAGGGGATAAGCAAATATATTTTGACTGAACGTTTATTATGCTCTTTATAACCTTAAAACATCTGAAAGATTTCAAAGCAATCGGTTTTGTGGTTCCAAATTAACTCAATAAAATAAGTTCACGCATTCATTAATTTTTTTGAGTCACCTGTATATGCAAATCGAAAAAATTTGAATGAAATGATAAATCACAAGAAGAGACTCACCATATTTTGTACATTTTAGATAGGATTTATTCAGCAAAATTTTGTGGTGACGTCATAAATTTTTTAGGGGGGACGACCAAAGACATTTTGATCAAAAATTTACCATGCTTATGATAATTTTAAAACATCTTCAAGATTTCGAAGCATTCGGTTTTGTAGTTCATGAGTAAATCAATAAAATGAATTTTGCGCATTCATTAATTTTTTTGAGTCACCCTGTATATGCAAATCCAAAAAATATGAATGGAGTGATATATCACAAGTACAGACGCATCATATTTTGTACATTTTAGATAGGATTTATTCGGCAAACTTTTGAGCTGACCTCATCAAGTTTTTGGAGGGGATAACCAAATATATTTTGACTAAAGATTTATGATGCTCTTTAGAGCCTTAAAACATCTGCATCATTTCGAAACATTCGGGTTAGCAGATTCAAAATTAAATTGGAAAATGTTGTTTTATAATTTTGATTTTATTTTCAAAAATCTGGACGTTTCGGGTAAAAACTCGGTACGAAATCATAAACTACATGTGTAGGACTATGTTATTTCGTACAATTTAAAACCTATTTACTATTACAATTTTGAAGTGAGGTCATCACATTACTGGTGGGGATGATTAGACAAATTTTGGTTAGCGTTTTACCATCTACATGATATTCCTATTATAAGTACAAAATTTCGTAACAATCGGTCCAGTACTTTCGGAGATTATCTGTCTAATAAAAATCCGGGACGGCAGACAGACGGACAGGCGGACAGACAGACAGACAGACGGACAGACAGGCGGACAGACAGGCGGAAATGGGAGACCTATTTCTTCGTCTTCTAGGGGTCATGAAAGATCGAGAAAACGTAAAAGTAGAGAGTCGGCCGACGGACTCGATTACAATACTTCCTTTGCTTACGCTCGGGAAGTTAAAATTATAAAATTTAAGTTTCAGAATTTTAGTTTTTGTTGTGATGACCCCTATGAGAGAAAATTAATATGAGTGTGCATTGTTAAAGCACAGGGAAAAAAGCATTATATACATACGTTTCTAGTGAGTTTTTCCATATACAAATTTTTTGATGCCGTCTTCAACATTTTAGGACAGGTGCAGGTAATACTAACAATGACACGCAGTGCTGCTGTTCAAATTTTCTGGAAAATTCTAAACAATATGCACGCACTGCTAAACCACAAGTATAGACTCAACAACAATCGGTCCAGCAGTTTAGGAGATTTACGTGTCTAATAAAAATTGATATAGATACCAGACAGACGGAAACGGGAGACTACTTTTCTCGTACTAAAGGGGTCGTGAAACGTCGAGAAAATATAATATAAAATATAATTACTTCTACAGGTTACGCTTAGGAAGTAAAAATTTTTATTTTTTCCAAAAATCTGGATGCCTAGGGTAAAAACTCAACACGGATTCATAAACTACAACTGCAAGAGTATACTATTTCATAAAATTTAAATAACGTTTATTTTTGTAAAACTTGGGGATGAGGTCATAGCATTGTTGGTGGGGATGACGAGACAAATTTTTGTCAGCGTTTTATCATCTACACGATATTCCTAATATACATACAAAATTTGACAACAATCGGTTCAGTAGTTTCGGAGATTACCTGCCTAGTAAAAATCTACAGACGTGGAGCGACCTATTTTTTTCAGATTTTAGGGGTCATGAGAGTAGAAAGTCGCCCGATGCACTCGCTTACAATACTTCCTTAGATTGCACTCAGGAAGTAACAATCAGGTGAGTATGTTTCTTCGGAATTTAGAATCATGCGAAAGTTACATTAACTAATGCCCTTGATGCTAAGATTGTCTAAATTTAACTAACCAGTTTACCAAATGATCCATACAATAGTTATTTATTATACAAGGCGATACAGAGAGTCTTTATCTTCGAGTGGAAAGTGTTCGTTCACGAGTGACGGCAGTCATGAGTGGACAATTTGTCACGAGCATATAATAGTATATTATTTTGTAAGGAGCAAAAGTAAAACTTTTTGTGATGAGTCTGTAGGTTGATGGCCGACCGAAGGCAGACGAGAGAATTTTCAATTTTTTAAAATGAATGAATTAAGTTATATCTGGATACTGTTACATGGTTTCATTGTCAACAACAAAATTTCAAAAAACAGTTTGCCGATAAATACCGCTTAATTTATTATTTCTCATTAAAAGAGGAATATTTGCGACAGAATTATTTAATATGAGTGATGTTGCAAAAGCTGCTGCAGCAGCCACAGAGAATCTTGGGCCTCCAAAATCGGGTACAGTCCACGAAGTTGCTTGTAAACACTTTTACTTCGAGTTCTACGTATGTTTCTTTTAAGGTGATTAACTTCAATGTGCTTTGGAATACTTTGGATACTGTTGCTATGGTTTTACTTTTCTGACGCCTGTAGCGGCAGCAAAAGTCTTTGTCCGTCGTTGTTAAGGACGCTGAATCGTCAAACTTTAAGTTCATTTATTGAGTTACAAAATGTCATGTTTTATTGACGTTTGAAGAAAAAGATTCTTTATCATCGAAAATAATATTTTATTATTTTATTTTGTACCAGATTTTAACTAAAACTTTAAAACTATTCGAATGTAACAATATGAAATATTTTCAATTCGCTGGCCGCGCTTCACCGAAAGCAAACGCGTTGGCTATAGATCAAATACTTGTGTTGTATTGGTTTCACTTTGTTTATTTGGTTTCATTTTGTAACCTTAACAAACAACAGAACAAACAGTAGATGAAAGACTTCTTTATCTACCGGCAAATAAAATACTTGTTTATCAAGACGACTGTAGAGGTAGGTACAATGTACAGTCGTTTTGATGGACACATTTACAGTAAGGACTAAAAGATAAACCATCCTAAACGCTAACAAAACTATTATTCGCAGTGAAGTCACTTCCAAATAGCGATAGTTTTACTTTATACATATACTAAAAATAAGACCAAACTGCCTACTTTTTTAACAGTTGCTACAAAATAAAACTAAAATGTATAAAAGGCGCTTAATTAATAGGTGTAGTACAATAATAAATGTTGGTTAATTTTTAGTGTGGCACTAAATATTTGGTATCGTGGTGTGAATCCCTCTTAGTACCAGTGTACTCCACTTTCTGAGGGCATTGGCGGTATGAACCGAAAGTAGAGTCCGCAGTCCGTACAGTATAGTACAACATGGGCTCAACACAAGATGACGAGTGGCAGTCAGCGGTGTAACGTGAGCGTTTGAGAAGGGGGTGGTTTTGTTCCTTTAAAATAACTTCTTTTCAGTCGCAGATAACAACACAGGGAAACATAAACTTAAGAAAACTTGTCAACACGCTAGCACGGATGCAATTAAATAAACTATTAAACTGAAAATACCCACGAAATGATGACGGGCGCCTCTGAGGGTGTGGTCATCATTTAAATTCAAAAAGAAGAATCTGCTGGCCGCAAGAAAAATTTCTGCTTTCATTTGGTAACACAAAGTATCCACTCCTCTGCACATCGGCAGAGAAATTTGTGCTTGTATTCGGTAATACAATATCTCCTCTCTTTTACACATCTACAGAAATTTTTGCTTACATTCGATAACACAGTGTCTTTTCCCCTACGAAGCTACAGAGAGATTTTTGCTTGGGTACGCGAACACAAAGGGTCACCTTCTGTATTTACAGAGTCTCTAGTTTTTCGAACTGTATTATTTAAGTTGGTAAAGAATTTGTAAAATAAACTTGCCATGTTCAATATTTAAGACATGGGATTTAATATTAGTATATGGATATGTTTTAGTT